CCCAAGTTACAAGTTATATTTTTAAAGAATGAGGACCTATTTAACAGGTTTAAGAAAATTTAAGGATTTATTTAACAAGTTTTCAAAAGTCTAATGATTTATTTGTTCCAAAAAATAATTCAAAGACTTAATCAATCAAAACACTAAAGTTCATAGGATTTTATTAGACTTTTCCCTTCAAAAAAAAATATATATGATTGAAGTACATACTTTAATCCACTCTTTTTACATGCACCTAACCCCATCATTGTGAACTTTGTCGGTAACATAATCTATTTAATAAAAAAAAATCGGATTTATGAAAATAATCAATTAAAACGTATTTCACTTTTCTTCAACATAAATTGTAGTCATAAAAAATTAGTTATATAATATACATATTCGTGTTCTTCTCTCCTGCAAGAGATCCCTCCACAACCATCGTCGGACGACGATCTTGCAGTTATCACCGCCGTCTCCGTCCTCAAACACTATCGCTCCAAATCCCCATGGATCCGCCTACGCACGCTCTTCCATTCCCTGCCACCATTCCCTCTTATCATCATCCATACCTTCGCTTCCCGTCAATAAATTTGATGCCCTAACTCTGGTTCAATCCGCCATTCACAAGTTCCATGACGCTAATAGCAATTTGCCCCTCTATACCCCACCTTTGATCTTCGTAACTTTACTTAAGACTTACCGAACGTGTGATTCGCATCCTTCGTGTTCGATTTGCTGATTTAAGCATGCCTCCATTCCAAATGAATTAATCAGGGTTTCGAGATTGTGTGGATTTTGCGGTCCAAAGGTATATATGCAATGATTAGCACTTTAAATTCTTTAATTATCTCTGTTTCTAAACACCATTGGACCGTTGCTGGGTAAGAGATTTGCAACGAGCTTCTAGGGTCCAGTGGCAAACTTGGGGATAACTGTTTTGGTGTTATAACATAATGATGAAATATTTTCTATAGAGTTTGTTTAATTGAGAATTTAGAACGTGTGTGTATAGTGATATGGTTGTAAACGATTGCTTGCCTAATGCTTATTGTAAGCATTCTAATGGACGCCTATTGTGATAGTGGAAGAATGGAGGACAATGGATTTAAGCATGATGTTATGTCTTATAACGCCATGATCGGTGGGTTTTGTGAAACTGGAGAGGTTCATAAGGCTGAGGAATTCTTCAAAGAAATGGGATCGAGTGGGGAAGAGAGTACTTGTATATCACATATGAGCATTTGTTAAATGGGTATTTGTAAAATTGGGGATCTTGATTCAGCAATGCTCTTGTTTAGGGATATGTGTAGGAAAGGGCTTATGCCAACCGGGTGTACCTTTGATGTCTTAATTAAGGAACTTTGTGAGAAGAATGAGGTTTTTGAAGCATTAAAGGTTTCAGATCCGCATTGAAGATAAGCTATTTGGCATTAAAGGGTGAAAGTTATGAGCTTTTAATCAAGGGATTGTGCAATGAGGGGTTGATGGAAGGTATGAAGCTTCAAGTAGAAATGGTGGGAAGAAGGTTTGAACTGAATTCAAAGGGGATCAAGAAAATAGCAGACAAGCTGAAGGGTTTTGTTTGGTGGGGGTGGCGCTTCTTGGAATGCAGTAAGCCTCTAGAAGACAAAATGGTCGCATAAAAAATCGGAGATGTTTCTTTGAGCAAAAACAGGTATGTGTTCGGATCAACAATCACATACATTTATGGTATATTCAAAAATTCCACCAAAACATCTGCAATGCGTTCATTTATATATGGGAAAATATTGTGATGGATGGTCTTCTTAGTTGGTTCTGTAAAAAAATGTTACATTTTTTAAACTGAAAATTATATGAATGTACAAATTCTGGGTCCCAAAGACAAGGGACCTCCAAGTCCCTTGAGTCACAAAGATGGAAGAAGCCATAGATTGAATAGAGAAGAAGCCATAGACAAGAACCACGACAAGAAAGCAAATATGGTGGAAAGTAGATAGCGGCTGCAGATTTTTGGAGGGCAGACGGATCCTTCTGCCCTCAGCAAGATATCCACCACGGCCGCAGCTGAAGAGGCTGCAGCTAGTGTGAGAGTCAATAACACCTGCTCAAAATCAATTTTGATCAAAACCATCAGTAGCTATTAGATGTGGTTAAGAAGTAGAAAATGTAAAAGAGTCAAAAAGAAAAGAGTTTACCCAATCCCCTATAACGATGATGAACAAGATTCCTTTTTGTCGAACTGGGTGTGTAACAAGAACAGAGTATCCATCAAGAAATGCCAATGTGAAACTCCATGGAATAACCAAACCCATTATTGTCACCAAGAAGCTGGTGAAGTTCCAAATTATAGAATTAGCAAACTGATGAAAACACTAGGAATTAATATGATTTTGAAGTTACCATATACACATACAAGGGCCGTTTCAAATGAGAAGACTATGTATCGTTAAAAATGGAAAGAGAAGGTTAAGGGAATGTTCATATGTGAATCATCTAAATCATCTTAAAGAAAGTCTATATGAAGATGCGTATGTGAATCAACGTCACAGGTTATTCATATATGCATTTTCAAATCGATTTTTTCAATGATTCACATATGAACCTCCCCTTCTTACCTTCGCATGATATTTAGCCTTTTTTATTTGAACCTTTTTGTTTGAACCTCCCACCATACATAGACATACATATATGCATATATACATACTATATAGACATAATTGAGTAGAAAATGAGAGGGGAGATGGTACCAGAAGGAGGTATAGCTGTAGAATTGACCACCAAGCGCCATGAAGAGAAGAGCAGCAGAGGAGAAGATGGTCTGACCGAGCCTGAGAGCGAATCCTGCACTGGTACCCATGGATCCTGGTACGTCATCCATACCCGTTTGATCTCTGTAACATAGAATTCAAACCCACCTGCGTAAGAATTCATAGGATGATGATGATGATACAACATGGTATCCTTTGAATCCTGGTCTCAACCTCTTGAGATCAAATACACCATTCATGTGGTCTTGTGATGGTCTGTTTTAATGATCCCAGATCGATAATTTGGTGGAGAGCTTGTGTTGTTTCTCGAGGAATTTGGATTCTTCGTGCAGAAGAGAGTTTCAGGTGATGCTCTTTTTTCAAATGATTCTTTCTTTTTTGTCACGTAATTGAATTTAATGAGAAAATATATGAAATGTGTCGGCGGCTTAACCTTTGATGGAGAACACATATATGTGGGTGTGGATGCATTCATTCATGTACTTTTACAAAAATGTATACAACCACAAGTAACTTGTCGTGATGTCTGGGTGGGGATACCGACCCCACCGCTTGCTTTTTCACATTTATTCATTTTATAAACTTTACAAATTTTGAACTTTGAATTTATTTGAGCTCTATTTTTTTGGACAGAGTGAAACCCATTAGATTATTCTTTAAATATATTAAATAGAAATGGTTAAAGTACAGCTGATATAAAAATATTAGAAGTAATTTTTGTATGTGTTTGATGGGATTTGGAATTTGTTTAGTTGGATATTCCTAACTGAAAAGGATTAGGAACCTAACTGATTAAAAGAAAAAAACAATCAATGCTTCGTATGAAAACGGCAACCATGATAATGGAATCGTATGAATTTTTCAGCATGTATTGAAGAATATATATATATATATATATATATGTGTATGTATATATATATATGTGTATGTATATATATATATATATGTGTATGTATATATATATGTGTATGTATATATATATATATATGTGTATGTATATATATATGTGTATGTATATATATGTATGTATATGTATGTATGTATGTATGTATATATGTATGTATGTATGTATGTATATGAGGGGGATGGATGATTATGGACAAAAATGTCAAAATAAAATGATCCTGGAACACATTCTTTATTGTTCACAATTACACCCGTGCATCATATGTATTAGTACTACTGTTATTTATTTGTGCATATAAAATTAAAATTTATATGACAATGGTTTTCTATTTGCACATGATTTGACCGTTTTCATATTTTGTTGATGTAAAATCACATGGAAGAGGTTCAAACGAGATGTATCTTTGTGTGTGTGTATATATATTGAGAGAGAGAGATGTGAGTTATTATACAATCTTTTACATTTGTACAACCAATATAATTCAATTTTAACCGTCCATTTAATTTGATGAATATGTAATTTCATAGAAGTTTTGGTTGTTTTCTAATATAAAGTATTGATTATAATTAATGAATTTTATTCATCTTTCATAAATATTCAAATCATAATAAATGAACTCTTATCATTTTCATAAACATCTCAATTTATTGGGTTGTATTGATTGTACAAATGTGATGGGTTGCATCTGAAACGAACTCTCTCTCTCTCTCGCTCTCTCTCTCTCTCTCTCTCTCTCTCTCTCTCT